ATAGAATAGAATAGAATAGAATAGAATAGAATAGAATAGAATAGAATTCTTTATTGGCCAAGTGTGATTGGACACACAAGGAATTTGTCTTGGTACAAATGCTCTCAGTATACATAAAAGAGGTGGATGTTATCATGCAAAATATGTTTCATTCAAGTGATCCTTCAGGCAAATAAATAAGCAGAAATAAATAAATTAACCTCTTTGATTAAACAAAAAAATACCTATATTAATGACTGTCTGGAAGAGACTTTTTGCATGAAACAAAAAATGCACCCATGACTTCTGGTTTTGATGACTATAAAAAACTGGATAATAGAAAAAGTTGGCTTTTTTTGGAATCATAGAGTAAGAGAATATTGTTATTGTATTTATATCAATTGCAGAGGAAATTGGAAGCTTCTTTTGATTTTCTCTATGCATTTTTCCTCTTTTTTCTTCTTTTACTCTTACCAGTTTGTGTCAGTTTTTATGTTCTTTGCAAAACTTTTAATGATAAATAGATACATGATAGATAAATGGATGGGTAGATGGATGGATAAATAGGTAGACAGATAGACAGACAGACAGACAGACAGACAGATAGATAGATAGATAGATAGACAATGGAACAATGGTCATTTGGGCAAGTTTCTGAATATTTTATCCCATGATACCTTACAGAGGAATTAATATATTAAAATATAAACTTTCATCAACTGCAAGACACCAGTCACATATAAAAGTAGAGAAAATAATAGAAAAATATAAATCTCTTTTTTTTGGCAGGAGATAAAGTCTGTAATTATCTACAAATATGATAAATTATTAGACTTTATCTCATATTGACCATTCAGAGTACAATAATAGATGATAACACAATTATCATAATTTTAATTTGTTAATTAACAGCAAATATGAGATTGAACAATGCTGTTATCTCAGTTCAGATATTTGTTTTTAAAAACTGTGTATGGAAGAAGCCATGGTTTATCTTAGATTATACACCATGTTCTTCCCTCCAAAAGAAGAGACCCAAATCATATGGATGGGTTGCGATATGGGAGGTGTGAAATTTTTAACGTGGGAGTCCTCACATATGTCAGCCTCTCCCAATGTGGTATTTTCTAGTGTGTAGATTTCCAACACTCTTTTAATTCTCAGATATCTTGTGGGCATATTGGCTGGGAGTTGTTAGAACTGAAATTTAAGGCTACTTTATTGGCAAATTCTGAGGTAGTAGTAGGCAAATCATAGGCATGGATGTGGGTGCATACTTTTTATTAACATATGGTTGTAACAGTGTGTGTGTGATTAGGATAGGAGTTACAATGTGCTGGTTTTATATTTCTGATGGTAAGCCAAAATATGTGCAGCAAATGTGTAAGAAGGGGTGTTTGTCTTCCTGTTCGCTAATGTAGGTGGGTGTGCATATGTTTGCGTTATAAAACTGAATGCTTGTTATGAGTGGAAAGGACCACTTCAGTTATACTAGCTTTGTCCCATCTGCTTTTATTAAACAATTATGAAACATAGCTGAATATAGCTAAAAAGAAGAAGAAATGGAGATGTCTGGTTCCAAAGAATGTTCTGTATACAGTGATTATGCTGATCTATGTAATAAAGATTTAATTTAATTTACATATGTTAATAATTCTTGTGCTAATTAAAATATTGAGATATGGAAGGAGATACGGAAATTTCTAAAAAGGAGTTTCAGTGCCAAAGAACAAGTATGCATCTCCTGCATATGTCTTACCCTTCATTTTTGATGAATTCAGAGATGTTATAACCACATAATAATGAGAGAAAAATCACTCTGTACTTCTTTAGTGACACTACCCTTGCTATTTATAACTTCAGAGCTGTCTTGTCAATGAAAAACAGTTTTATTGCTTATGTTTCATCAAATTTCAGTCCTTCCATCTCTGAAACTATTTTACAGTATTACATCAGTATTTGTCAGAGGTTTTTTTTAATGTGTGGATGCATGTGCACAAATGTGAAACAATGCAAGCAAACTATTGACTATGATTGACATCATATTTGCTCATTTTGGGCATGTGATTATAGTCATAATTAATCCCACTCAGATCCCAGTGTTTGTACATTTATTATTATTCGTTTAAATTTACTAACTACCTAAGGAGTCAGGGGACTCCTGAAAGTATGATTATGTGCATAATGTATGTATCAATATATGAGCGTCTATGTACATATTGCAAGTTTAAATAGGATATAAATCAGGGTGTGGCTGTGAGAAACCAGAGATATTTTTCATGCAGTGATTTATTATTATATGAGCCATGCAATATTGTAAAGATATTTGGCTTTTTTTCATACTAGCTCCTAAATTTGTGTGTAAATATATATCTGGGATGAATATAGTTTGAAACACTATGCTTGAAAGGTGTGATTAGGTGAGTGCCTTTTAATATTTAATAAGGCATCTGGAAACATTTCTGTTCATCTGTTCTTCTGCTCTATCCTGCAAATAAATTAAGTTGAGGGTTAGGCACTAGATCACTGTAAGATGAGGTTGCTGATGATGAGTCTTAGTCTGTAACTAGATATGGTGTGGTAAATGAGCAGGTCAGGTAACTGAGTTTCACCTCTGGACTGTGCCTGCTTTTACCCAGGAGCCCAGATGCCCTGAAAAATGACCTGAGCAAAACTCAATGTTCATGTTCAGTCTTGGAATTGGCTTGGGACCACAGAACTGAAAAGAAATATGCAGGACTATTTGCCAGAGACTAATAGTTGCCGATAATAGTGCATCCAGGAAGAAAGTTTGAAGAATACTACAGTATTGAAGAAAGGCAAGCTATTTCTCAAACTAGATTTGCCAAGCACTGAATTCTGGTTCCTGGCTCAGTTAATCCATTACTTTTTCACTCAGGGAATCTTCTCATGCAAATCTTTGCATGAGAAGATCTGTATTCAGAAGCTAAGGTGGGAGATCATAGAAGAAAGACAGTGTGGGAATCATCGGAGACCAACAGCAAGAGATTGTTCATGCCATTCTAGAGAGCTCACAATGTAGTTCATACTTTGCATGGTAAGATCCCGGTCACAATAGTGATTCAAGAAATTTCTTATGACATGCACACGTACAAGTGCCATGATTGTCGACTAGACGGTAGTTTAGACTAGTTATACTGAGCAAAGGAGAGTGGGCAAACAGGGATAGGATCAATCACACAAAAGAAATGACAAAGGTTTTGGTGTCCTCAATCCTGTTAATTTTATAAGAATGGATTAGGAAAACAGGAGACTATGAGGCAGATTTTACCTCAAACATTGATGAAAGTGTTTATATAACTTTCATCTTTTTTCTTCTCCCATCAGCCATCTATTGTCCTTAAATTATGTGGAACGTCACTTTGGACAGGATGGAAATGCCAGCCACACTATGGTAAGAAATCTAAAGATCTATATCTGTACTGTTTGACTTAATATTTAAAAATCTGTAGAGTACCTTTGCATCAGGAGAGAGGGGGAAGGAAGGGAGGGAGGGAGAGAGAGGGAGGGAGAGGGAGACAATATTGTTACAGGATCTTGATCTGCATTTGTTTCAAGCTGATTCTCCCATCTGTTAAACATGAAAGAACTAATTGGGTGGGGCAGTGGGAAGATTGTGGATAGGAGGAGGAGTGCCGGTTGTACTTTGCAGCTGCCAGAGCAAAGATGTAGATTGCAGATGCGGAGTCTGAAAAATAATGAATGGATGATCCAGAAATAGCCCTGCTCTCCCTGCAAAAGGAAGCCTCACAAGTAGAGCATCAATAATACTAAGTGCTTGCTAAGTGGTTGGTCACACACAGCCTCCCAAGCAGCTGCAGCCAATCCTTGAGGCCATCCACATCATTTCCCTGCTTTGGCAGGAGCGATGGCTTCCCCCATTCTTGTCTAAGTTAACCTGAACCATGGTGTCTCTATAAATAGTCATGAGAGGGAGGTGGTGGCTTGCTCGCTCATGCTGCAACAACCTTGAACACAACAGGCAGTGCAGGGACACTTGTGAACTGTTTCATAGAAAGACGCAAGCAGGCAAAAGAAGGTCAACAGACAGGCATGCCTCTGCACAGAGGGTACAGCTGAGTATTGGTGTGCCAATGTCATTTCAAGTATCATTTATTGTTCTTCACTGCTGCTGGTATTGTTCAAGTGCAGTATTACCCACATTGATTTTTACATTTTAAATGTCATGCTTCTTGAGCTGTACATTCAATATCACCAAGTCATACCTGAAAAATAACACTCTGCCCCCTGTCTCTCTCCAACAGTGTTGAACTATTGTTCTATTAAAATTAAGTAATGGGAAATATGATGGGAGTCATAGTCCAACACATCTGGAGGTTACTGGATGGTAGAAAACTAGAACATATGAACGCCATATTTGGAGAGTGGAAAGTCTGCCTGTCCGCATACATTCTGACCTATTCTCTGGTTATCTCGTGTCTTGGTTCCTGTAATCTTGTCTCAGCTTTTTCACCATAATTTCAGAAGACTTTAGCCAGTTCCTTTAGTCCTCTGCCTGACTTCTGTGTAGTTTGTATCTCTACATAGCCATCCTATGTAAATCCTCTCTTTGTTACCTCCCCAAAAGCTGAAATATCAAGATCTGAATTATGCAGGACAGGGGTAGACAATTCCCATTCAAATGAGATGGTCATGCAGTCCACCCACAGAGAACATGTGAAAATGTTTTGTTTAACAGATGTGAGGACCAGATTTTTGATACTTTAAAGGCCATGTACGTAAGAAAGGAATTCAAGGGATCTGAAATGATCTTTCAACAGTGGACTTGACTGAGCAGATAATTATGATAATCTGGTCATAGGTTTTTCCACTATGATGAGAAGTATTATGTTTCCAAATTTGTATTAAGCTTGTAAACTATCATATGCAAATTTTAGGCAGCTCTGAAAATTTTGTTCTCTTTTTGGCTATGCAAAGATGTGTAAGTGTAACTGTGTAACAACAAAGAAATTGAATTTCTTCTTCCACTTTACCTTGGTGGTTTTTTGCCATTTTTTTCATGCCTATTTACTTTTTATATTAGAGCAATAGTAGTTTTGGATTGGTTGATTTAAAACAACAATAGCAAAATGAAACAAATTAAATTTAATTCAAAGTTTATTTAGCACATACTAAAAGACAAATCACATATTACATTTATATTTCTACTGCTGTAATAATGTTATTCCAAATAATGATATTTTTTTTAAAATACCCATTTTGTTTTAACTATATGGTTTAGAGCAAGTTCTGAAAAAAAGAGCTATCTAAAATAGTAACATGCAAAAAGCAAAGGGTATGATCTTTTAAAAATAATTAAGAAAACAAAACCTAATGCCAGAAAAATACAACTGAACGCTCACAGGTCTTTGATGTAATAAAATGTAAGTCATTAAATTTGTTTACCTTATATGCAGGAGGAGCATTGTTCAACAGCAAAGTGCACCCATTTGCATTTGGAAGGCATCAAGTTTAGTTTATTGCTTATTTTCATAGCAATTTGATTAGAAATTACAGTAACAAAAATACAAACTAAAAAACAGGAAAAAATTAGATACAAAAAATAGAAAAGAAAACAAAAAAATAAGAATATAGTAAAGAAAAAAAGATATATAGAAAGGAATGCCTTCTTTGTTTATTACAAGCATAAATAATTTTAATAATTTGTTAAAGGTAAAGGTGAAGGTTTCTTCTGTTCCAGTCTTGGGGGCAGTGCTTATCTCCATTTCTTAGCCGAGGAACCCAGTGTTAACTGAAGACATTTCCGTGGTTCATATAACCAGCATGACTATCACTGAAGTGCACAAAATGCTGTTACCTTCCCACTAAAGTGGTGCCTATTTATCTACTGACATTTGCATGCTTTCAAATTGCTAGGTGGGCAGGAACTGGGGCAAGTAATGGGAGGTCACCCCATCCTGCAGGACTCAAGTCTTGAATTCAGGCTGCATACATCCAGCTGCCCAATAACTTATTATCTTCTTTTAAATTAAATAAATTATCTCTTCTTCCCATATATCATCTGTTATTTATAAACCAATCTTTAAAACCGTATCATTAAAGAGCTGTGGTGGTGCAATGATTAGAATGCAGTACTGCAGGCTACTTCTGGTGACTGCCAGCTGCCTGCAGTTTGGCAGTTCGAATTTCACCAGACTCAAGGTTGACTCCATCCTTCCAATGTCAATAAAATGAGGACCCAGATTGTTGGGGGCAATATGCTGACCATATAAACCACTTAGAGGGCTGTAAAGCACTATGAAGCAGTATAAATGCTATTACTATTTCAACTCCAATCATTAAAAGTGCATGAGTCATTATAGAGGTAACAATATATGTGTTTTAACCTTGATAAAAGAAACTAACTGTATATTTCTTAGATTTATTTCTAATTTTCTGATGTTTAGTCACTTCAAATAGTGTCCTAGAATTTTATTTCTTTTCAATTTTTTCTTTGTCCCCTCTCATAAAATTTTTCAAACCTTCATAAAATATTTATCTGGGCTTACTCTCTTGGTTTGTTATTTGTATATCCCTTTTAATTATGAATATATTAACTAGGTTTTTTTGTACGTCCATGTAACATTTTGCTTCATTCTTATTTTTAAACCCACTTTCAAATTGGTCTCAGTATTGTCTGATAAAAATGTGTTCCTTTTCCATAATACCTTTTAAATAAAGTATCTATAGAGGTAGTCACTGTTAAAACTAACTTCTGGGTCCATTGTTTAAAAATATCCTTCAATATGTCCAACATTAAAATATTTTGTTCCATTTTGTATTTGTAAGTCAAATGTAAGTGTTCTTCCCTTTTAATTGTAATCTTATTTGCTTCTAGTTCATTTACGGTCCGATTTTTAAAATCTTATGTTTAAAAAAAAAAAGAATTAAAACAAAAGTATTTTCCTAGGGGAAGGATTTCTTATAATTAATTCCAAATTCATATTTCAAATTTACCTGCATTCTTAGTCCACTTGTAACTTTCTAAATAATGCTTTGGCTCTTCATTTCAAACAGTTTTTAAGTCCTTAAACTTGTAGTTAAAAAGTATTTCTTTATTTCCCTCCCCCAAAAATATTCCCATTCTTCTTGCTCTGTTGGATACTCTATTTCTCTGATCTCCAATAAATCAACTGCACATACTTTATTCCACCCATCCTTTGAGTGAGTGATGACATCAGTCACTATTTTCTACATACTCCCTTCTTGCTTCTGAAGTAGCATAGAGAATCTGAATGGTAGTGCTATGGTGGAGAGATTTGATTTGTCCCTTGCTAGTTGGTTGCTTATTTTTGCTTCTTGTATTGAAGAATGAATCAATTTTCATTACAAGAACTTAAGCAGATAAAACATGTTTTTTTAAACATTTCTTTTAGGGAACAAGTGAGCACTGTTACTATCAAGGCAATCTCCGTGGAGAAGCAAACTCTTTTGTGGCTTTATCTACTTGCCATGGCCTACAGTAAGTAAGGAATTGTGAAATGGGAAAAGAAGCCATGACAAAGAAAGTTTGGTTTCCATCAAGGCAAAGTCAGTGTGGCTGTGTTGTGTGTGTGTTTTTAAATTCACTGTTGGATATTGTCAGATATCTTGGGATCCTTTGTAGATAGAAATTTAAAAATTAATAATTCTGATAATAGACATTTAAAAATAATAATTCTGATCAATCAGAAACTAGATTAAAGTTACTTCTCCAGTGCTGAGTTGGCTTGGGGGTACAATTGTGCCTTCTATCATACTGAAAAGGCCAGTTTAGTGCCTATGAATAATATTTCCTAGTAATTCTTAAGAGTGTGTAATTTGTATATAAACGTTTCTAGGCCTAGGTTCTGTTTTTATTTCCCTGAGTAAGAATAAGGAATGTCAGCTATGACTGCTTCATGGAAATGCTTAGCATGCAACTGTTTAGAAGTGTGCAACTTTGTCCTGAATGAAGTTACTGGTGCCTGCCTGAATATTGTTTCTTATTTTTTTCCTCCTAATGTAAACATAGCCGCTTTTGTGTTTTATGTAACCTCTTCATATTTCTTTGCATTTCTTCAGTGGTGTTTTCTCCGATGGAAAAGACGTGTACCTCCTGAAGCCTCATGATTCACTTGAATATCAAGCGGTAAGGAAAGCCTGGCCTGGGCTGTAATTCCATCACTGCCATGGAGATACCTCACTTGTGTTTCATCCCCAGAGGTGAAAGGAAGTTCGTGTTGGTTCCCTCCCTCCCTGTAAACTTTTGTAGATATTGGAAGTCTGTTCTAATACAGGGTCAGTGTCAAGTGAGGTGTCTGGGCAAAATTGCTGGCATTGAATTGCAGAGGCCCAGAGTTCAAATCTCTCTTGAGCCAGAAAGCCCACTTGAAGGATAACAGCAACCATTGTCCATCAGACCAACTAACATCACTAGGTTATTCCTAGGATAGAAGGTAACAATTACAAGGTGCACAGCTTTTTTTAAGCAATAGTGACATATCAGAATAATACACATCAATTCTGTTTAGACTTTATTGTCAGAAAGAGAAAAATGCCAGCTTTAAAACTGCGAGGTCAGATCCATGCAGAGCTAATTAACTCCAACCTTTATCAAGAAGTTGTCACGTGTTTTATTTTTCTCAACACTTTTTGTTGTATACTACAATTGATATATTGATTTCAAAATTGCCTTTCTTTCTCCCTAGGGGATAGGGGGGCTATTATGGTTGCAAATCCTCCAGAAAATGCTAAAGAAAAAACAATCATATTCAGATTCTAAAATTTCTGCTCCAATATATGGAGCTATATCATATTTGATTCCGAAGAAATTGGGATCATTTTCAACAGTGCTAAATGGCTTAGGGAGCTTCTAAATCTGCTTCTCTCTCCCCCCCCCCAACTTGACCTAATATATTTCCAGCAGGCACTCTTTTGTAAAAGCCATGACAAGGAGTTTTCCAGGGTGCTTCCTTTGAATGTTGTTACCATAGCAGCAAAGGGAAAGAAATTCCATCTCCCCCCCCCCCCCAAATAATCTGCTTCCTCTACCTTCTTACTTCTCATCTACCTCAATTTGCATACATTTTACTATTGCTTTATTCCAATTAATCATTTTAGAGATTGCTCAATGAAAAACATGGTAGGGGAACATTATAAAATTTTACCCAAAACGTATTGGAGAAAAAAGAAATTGTGATAACATAAACATGAACTCCAACTTAACATAGTAGGAGGAAACTGATTTTCAACATTAGGGATCTTTTAAATATTGTAATAAGTGAACCAATAAGAAAGAAATGATTTTTAAGCATGAACAGGCTGTTCTTCAGTCTTGAAAAACATAACACCTTGGTGCATATGGCACTTCTATAGAAAATCTTTTCAGCAGTTTAGAAACAGTTCAAAGCTGTGAAATCTCACAATATTGGCTAAGAGAGAACTGATTCTTGCTTCTTTTGGCTTTTCACCAGTTCCGCTAAAATTGGGGCAAAGCTAATGTTTTATTTTGCAAAGTTTCAGATATCTAGAACATGTAAATGGTTTGATCTCTCATAGATAGAATGCTTGCTTCCACTTTGACTATTCCTATGCTGTATCTGCATGCTATTAATTCTCAGGTCCTTTAAGAGAAAAGATGGCTTAGTAACTTTGTGGCTTTCATAACACATCACAAGGTTCTCTGCACACAATTGAACATTAAAATGAAAGCAAGAACATGGATAGTGATGCTAGCAGTTGTTTCCTTTCTCCTGTATATGGAGGTGAAATTATTCTAAATGGATCAGTCAGTGTTAGTTCAGGACGAAGCCGTGATTGACTTCTGGGAAGGTGTTGTTGTTGTTTCTTTTTACATATACCCTGTAAAAGTTTTTTTTAATCATTTAAGTTTTGCCAGATAATATAAAGAGGAATAACAGAAGAATAAAAATGCAAAAAAGGAAAGAAGATAAAGTACTAATAAAACATAAGCAAAAAATATAATAATAACCAACTTTTGGTAGTGCATTCGCTCATTCCTTTCCATTTATTTTCCCAACTGTGAACCACTACCTAGATATTTTTGCTCTGCTTGAATATAAAATGATGGAGGTTATTATTAGTACCTAAGAATTTTAATTATTATTTTTAATTGATATTTTAACTCTTTTCCTAGAAAACATTCCAAAGGTCTGAATTTACCTTGCTGTGTAATGTGATTTTTTTTAATGGAGCCATTCCTGCTTGAATTTATTTATTCAATTTATATAGCCGCCAATCTAATATATGTGACTCAAGGTAGCTTGGAATAAAATACAAAGTATGAAAAAAATAAGGCAACAGTGGAGCCTCATACAGCTGGGAGACCATCTCTGTCACATGCGTTAGGGTCCTGGGCTTGAGCACAAAACTAAGTTTTCATATCCTTATGGAAGGCCAGCAGGGATGGAACTAGGGGTGGGATGCTATCGATTCTGCGCGGCTCTATAGAACTGGTAGTTCTGAAGAGCAGCAGACACTGAACCGGTTCTGTGTCTGCTGCTGTTTGGACCACCCGCCCGCCCGGGCTCTTACCTGACCTTTATTTCTGCTTTTTTCAACCTCAGCTGCTTTGCGCGGCAGCGCTTATCAGCCATCTGGGTGGCACAGCATAAGGTTTTTTTTATACAACGTAGTCACCGAACCAGTAGTAACACCGGTTAAATCCCACCCCTGGATGGAACCAGTCTAATCTCATGGGGAATGATACCTCAAAGGGTGAGCCCCGTAGTAGAAAAGACTCATCTTCTGGATCCCATTAGCCAATGCTTCTTAGCCGACAGTATCCAGAGCATGCCAGTAATCCAGTCCCTTTGTCTGATATTAGAATTAGTACCATGTGGAATAAAACATTCATCTTGGGACACCTTTAGGATCTGAACTCTGATGTAGGGTGCCTTCAAGCCACTCCCCAATAAGGAATGTAGGAGGGAGTTTAATAGTAAACATTGTAACTGGGGGACATGACACAGAAAGAAAAAAGAGCAAAAGAGAAATACAGATAGTCCTCAACTTATAACAGTTCATTTAGTGACTGTTAAAAGTTACATCACTGAAAAAAGTGACTTCTGACCGTTTTTAACATTTACAACTATTGCAGCATCCTAATGTGACATGATCAAAATTCAGAATTTTGGCAACTGACTCATATTTATGATGGCAATATCCTGTGGTCATGTGGTCACCTTTTGTAACCTGACGAGAAGTCAATGGGGAAACAACTGTAGTGATTCACTTAAAAACTGTGGCAAGAAAGGTCGTAAAACATGGCAAAACTCACTTAACAAATGTCTCAGCAACATAAATTTTGGGCTCAATCAAGGACCTAAATCAAGGACTACCTATAAAGCTAGAAAAAGTAGAGACTGGTGGATGGAAATGCACATGTACATGGACGGTTGAAAACTTGACGAGAGAGCAATCAAAGAGAGCTATGTAGCAGTACATCTTCTTTATATGTGGATATTTCACATTCTTTGTTATCTGTGTTAAAAGATTTATCAATGATCAGGAAGACTTAAGACCTTGAAGAGCTGTCAGAATATGTGATGGTAGTTGTAACGTTATGTTAGCTCTAGTATGATGCAGTTTGTTGCAAATTGACCTACGAGAGTCTGAAAAATAAAATGTTATGTGGTATAAAAGTAATGGGGTAGCATGGCAGGTAGAGACCAATGTAGGGGTAGGGTGGGGGGTATGAAATTAGCTAAGGGATGGAATCCTGAAAATTGAAATCTATGCCATACAGACGGGAAGTCTGAAAAGTGGGATTGCAAAAAATGAGGCAGTAGCAATCTTTATTGTACACAGAAACGTAAAAAGAAAAATAAAAGCAGTTTTGCACTATGCGATTACAAAAAAAAAAACAAGTGCTGTCTGATGTGGAGAAATTCAGAGACGAGAGCTAAAAGGAGACGCCCAGAGAAAGAGGTGGTTAATTGCTAAATTGGGACCTTTCTACAACACAATGGTTCCATTCCCCAATCCTTCAAAAGCAGCTTGAAGTTCATTTGCAGTAATTTTCACTTCTACTGAACTCAAAATGCTGAACACAGCATGAGCCAATCAGTTCTTCCTACCAGTAGTCCACTAGAAGGTTAAATGGCATTCAATCAGTACAATACCAGCAGGTTGCACTCATATGGTGCATTGGTGATGTAAAAAAAAAAATGTTGCTTTTACTCTATGAGAACTTCTGTATGAAGCAGGGACAATTTAGTTTGAGTAGGACCTTGGAGTCAAGGTGAGGTACATTCTCACTGATGGAAAATGGCATGCCTATAAATTCTTCAGAGTTCTATCAGTACAAATGGAAAATTCGCCTTTGACCAATTCTAGATATGGTAGCAATTGAGCCAAAAATAAATCAATTTAGCTGCTGGCCTTACAACATGATAGTGTACATCTGGATACATCTTCTGAAGCAAGGCAAAGACACTGTCATTGTTCTGAGTAATGAATTCCGCCACACTTGCTTCGGGTTGTTGTCTGCTAGATGGCTCTCCACCTTTTGTTTGTATTTTTGTTTTGCCATCTTAATGCCTCTTCAAAGGTTTGTCCTGGCCTCTTTGTCTTTATCACTGTCCCCTGCCTTAAAAGCAGAATCCCAGGCTCTCAGAAGCATCTGTACCTCTGCAGTCATCCAGGTTTGCAATTCCCATAGATTCTGATGCACTTGTCCACTGTTACGTTGTCTGTGCACACTTTGATGTAAGAGAGTATGGCATCAGTGTATTCCTACAGTTCTAGATGTTCGAATATGCTCCACTCAGTGGAGCATATTCACTTTCAAAACAGTCCTGCAGCTGACTGAGAGCACCCTCTGGTCAGGTTTTAACAGTTTTCATAACTGGCTCAGTTCTTTTCCTGAGAGGGACATAGTTTGGGCATAACAGCAGAGAAAGATGGTCAGATATAGCCAGGTGGGGAAGGGGGATTGCTCTGTAAGACTGTTTCAAGTTAGAGTACATACGGTCTAAAGTGTTCTTCCCTCCGAAACTGCACATACTACACAAACTTAGGGAGAACTGTCTTTAGACAACCTTGGTTAAAGTCCCCAGCCACGACAAGTGTTCCCTCTGGATGAGTTTGCTGCTGCTTCGAGATGACACCATATAGCTTAGAAAGCGC